CCAGCCCCCTCCCTCCCTACACCCAAGCGGTCTGGGCTCCAGGCTGCAGGGTCTGGCCCCTGCAGGCATACACACTTATCTGGTTCGATGCTGCCCCAGCCGAGGCGAGGCAGGTGCTCCCCACTTGGGGTTCCTCCTGGGTGGGCAGGTCCAGGACCCTGACAGCACCGGGTATTATTCAAGCGGCTCTCAGGCTGAGCAGCATGAGGTCGCGGACAGTCCTCTCTCGGGAGGCGGTGGTTCTCCAGGGAGACTCAGGTTGAACTGGTGGTGCGTGGGAAGCCAACACCGACCCGGACAAACTGGGCTGTGTCTGCGCTCAAAACAGGTTGTATGTTTAATCTGGAAAATAATAAAGCCGATAATTGCTGGGGACACGAGAGGGTCCCAGGAATGAGGAGGAGAGGAGGGGAAAGGGCTTATAGTGGTCTGGGGGGTGTAAAATGAAAGGGAGAGAGAGAGGAAACAAGGAGTAACCATGGAGAGAGGAGAGAGACAGTTGGGGAAGGCAAAGAGCTTTGAAGAAAAGACAGTGAGTGAAAGACAGAAGGATGACAAGATCAAAGCCAGAGAACAAAAAGACAGAGTGAAAAGGAGTATATAGAAAAGTGCCGGAGAGAGGGAATGAGAGGCAGAGGAACAGAGCCCAAAGGAGACTACAGAAGAAGACAGAAGGAAGGGTCCTGGGGAAGTAGCCAGAAGAAGCAGCTTTAATGAAAACGAGACTCGAAGGAGCCTACAGCAACGCAAACGACCGAGTGAAGACAGGCAAAGGGAGCAGAGTGAGAACACAGGCAGGGAGGGGGTGGGAACGAGAGAGAACAGGAAGGGAGCATGTGGGGGCGGGAGGGCCTGGGACCTGCCCAGGGGCTGCACAGGGGCTGTGGGGCTGGCTCCAGGAGCGGGTGGCCTGGCCCCCTGCCCAAGGGACGGCGTCCCCCCCTCCCCCTCCCCAGACCTTTCCCATCCTTTCCTCCTCCCTCCTCCCCCCCTCCTCCTCCCTCTTTTCTCCTCCTCCTCCAGGGCTCCCATTAGGCTCTAGCTGAAACCAGCCCTTCCCCGTGTCCCTCCCCTGAGTGATCATCATTGGGTCCTGGAGGAGGCTGGAGTTAGCACGAGAAGACCCCCCTCACACAGAGACATATGGGGATAATCCTTCCTTTTTCTGGGGTCCTTATTTGGGAAAAAAAGTGCTCAGCAGCACTGGGAGAGGCAGAGACCCAGGGGCAGAGGTGAGGAGACATACAGTGACAGGGATGCAGCAGAGGGACTGAGATGGACAGAGACCTGGAGAGACACGGAGGCGCTGAGACCAAAGAGAAGGAGCATCAAGAAGAATTTGGTCATACAGACAGACACACAACAGAGCTAAATATGAGAGACACAGGGAGTGCAGGAGGGGGGAGACACACAGGAAGACATTTACAAGGAGAGATGAAAACACAGGTACCAGTGAGGGGTTTTCTTTGGGTTGTCCCTGCCACTTCTCCATGACCTAGACCAGGAATGCTCCTTTCTCAGTCCTCCGTAGCCTCCCCCGAGGTTAACCCGGGACAGTGCCCACTGCTTGTCTTTGTGGAGTTATTAGACTGCTCCCCCCCCAGACCCGCCCCCTCACTCACCATTTATGCAGTGGGCTGTGAGCACCCACTGGGTGCACCAGCTTCTCAAGACTGAATTTGCTAATGAGACAGAGCCAGCGCCTGCCAGGGCTGGGAATTTTCTGACAGTCCCAGCCCAAGATCCGGGATCGACTGGATGGGGGAAGCAGCACTCAGCAGAGAGGGTGCCAGGTCAACAGCAGGTGAGGTGGCACCAGGAAGGCTCACAGAGAGAGGCTAAAAAGGGTGGGGTTGGGGGGGGACATGGGTCCAGAGGAGCAGGGCTGAGGTCTGGGAGACGGGCAAGGGTATGGGAAGGGCCTGGAGTCTGGAGCCTGCCCCTGGGATTGTGGGTTGGTGGCTGGTCTCCTGGAAGGGGAGACTGCTGAGGGCAGAGCCAACCACAGGGATAAGGTGAGACAAGAAGGCAGCCTGGGGCAGCATGTGGTGTGGGGGTCAGGCGACAGGGGTGATTTGGTGCCTCTGACTGGGACTGAGAGGGTCCTCTGGGGTTCAGTCCTGACTAGGGTTGTGGGTCAGACTGGATGGGGCTCAGGAGGAGGGAGACAGATGATAGTTCTTCTGGGGATTGGGTGATTCTCATGGGAGATTAGGGTCACGGCCTGAGGGTGTTGGAGGGATCTGGGGTTCTTCTGGGGTGGTGTCGAGAGGAAGGAAGGTGGAGATGTGTTGGGGCCAAGCAGCTGTGGGTCCTCCTCATGCTCCCACTCCCTTGGTGTGGGGTTTTAGAATCACATGTTGGGGTCCTGCAGTGAGGTCGTGGAAGACAAAGGCTCTGAAGCTGTACTTGGGATTCTGGAGGGAAGTCTAGAACAGAGCTTCACAGGAGGCGTGCATTTGAGGCTGGACAAGGGCATGCGTGGGGAAGGAAATTCCACAAGCGAAAGTTGAGTGCGTGTGGTTGGGGGTTCAAGTTCTTCCTCAGGGAGAAGGGCTGGGGGTGCTGGACCGGGTTCAGCGGCAAACAGGTGGGGAAGGAAGAGACATTCAGAGAATCCTCACACCAGAGGGGAAGCGGTCCACCTGAGTCATGGAGTCTGTTTGGGAGAAGTACAGGTGTCTGGATGGAATTTAGGAGTCTCGGAAGATTTGAGAAACCAGAGGCAGGGGACTGAGGACCTAGTTGAGAACTTATTGAAAGGAAGGAAAAGTCACCAGGGAAGGGAAGGATGTGGGGACTCAGAGCTACAGAAGAGAGAACCACTAAGGACCAGAAGGGGCTGTCGGGGTCCCAGGATCTGTGTTGGGGATCGGGGGCACTCAAAGAGCAGGAGTCCCCAGAGAGAGACAGATGGCTCAGCCTCTGCCCTTTGGTAAAAGTGGCTCAGGCAGGGGTCGAGTGGGGAGGAGGAGAAAATTTGGGGGGTTCCTGGGAGGGAGCAGGACCTAGCACAATAGTGGGAACTGTGACCACAGAAGAGGGGCTGGGAGAGAGCCTGGGACCCGCCTGGGATGGACTGTGAGGAAGAAGCTATTGGGGGTGAGGGCAGCATGAAAGTGGGGTCCACTCTCCCCCTCCCCCTCCCATCCCTCTGTCTCACCAGCCCCCGCCAGGGACAGGGCAAGGCACAGAACCAGGAACCACATGGCATCTCACAGGGGCAGGCAGGTGGTGAGCTTGGAGCTCAGGAGCCTCCCCAAGGAGCATTTTAAAGCCTTCATCCACCCCCTCCCCACCCTGAGGACCCGTCCCTGCCCTGCTGGCATCCAGATGCTGGCCAAGGCCCTGCCCCCCTCGCCTGCCTCCCTGGGGGTTGGACACCTCCACCCCAGAGCTGTGGAAGGGGCGGAAGGAGAGCAAGCACTCAGCTGTTCCCATGGCCCCTGATTGTGCTGGAAGCATTCCTGGGGCCTGAGGCCAGACAGGGCAGGGCCTGGAGCTCCTGGGCCCCTGCTCTTGGAGACAGAGCCGGTGAGGGGAGTTGGGGGGGGGGTGAGAAGAAACAGGAGCACGGAGGAATCAATGACCTCCAATACAAAGTCCGATATATACCTGAACCCCAAGGAAGGTCACACACCTGAAGACCCAGGGTATCCTCAAACACCAGCTGAGGGGCTCCGATTCCCTTCTCCCCGCACCACTTGGAGCCAACACGCCAGTTTCCCAGCTTCAGTTGCCTCCGAAATGTAAGGCTTTCAGAACACCCTGATTCTTGCACTCCCAGACTCAGGATCTAGGTCCAAATCCATTTATTGTTTCTCTCCGAATAAAATCTCAGGGTACCTACCACCACCAGCCTAGTGCCCCCAGATCCAGAAACGAGGTGTCAGTGGTCTCCCTAAATAAGTCCCCTAGCATTCCAAAATCCAATGTCCCCCCCCCCCCCCCCAGAACAACATTGGGATCTCATCACACCCCACCACTACTCCTTGAGCGTCCAAGCCTGGACGCTCAAGTTTAGGTCCTTTAAAGTCCCAGGAATTCCAGATTATCTGCCTCCCAAGGTCAAGAGAGGCCTCTCTACAAACTGTAATTCCCCTTCCCCCGGTAGGATATTTAGATCTCAAGAGCCAGGTTTATGTGGTTCAACATTCAGTGACCTTGAAGACCACATTTTGGGAGGAATCTCTGTTGAGAATCAGGAACGAGATTTCCGCAACCTCAATGGTAAACTCATGGGCTTCTGGCACATTCTCTGAGCTCTTCAGCAAAATCAAAGTAGGCCACAGGGTAGCCCAGCCTCTGCTGCATGTCGGGAGACTGCCTAAGGAAAAGGAGAGCATTTGCCTTTTTGCCTGGCTGCCAGGAGGCCCACAACTGAATCTCGAAGAAAATGAAGTCATTCTTGATCATCTAGCGTGTGCTGGGGGTCTTTTCCGCTGGGGTCCAGAGATATATTTGCCCTGTGCCAGGCACTATTGGAATGAGTTCATATAACCTTCCTCATTTAATCCTTACAACGCTGTGAGGTAAGCAACATGAAGATCTCTGTTTCACACCTGGGGGAACCGAAGCTGAGTGGCATCGAGTCTTTTCCTCAAGACTGCACAGCTAATCCTGTGTGTATGTGAATGAAGAGCCCTGCTTCAAGCTATTTCTTTTCACCTAGGCATCGGGGCAGCGAGTGAAATGGAGCAACGTACAGTGGCCTTGGGTTCCCCACCCAGTCTCTGTCTCCCACTTCCCTTCATCCCCAGAAGAAAGTCACAGCAACTCCTACAGAGAAACTTGCATCAGCACTGTTATCTCAGTGTTTAAACAGGTGACCTTGAGCACCAGCTCTGGCTTGACATGGGACAAATCCTTGGCCAACATGTGCGTCTTGGACAGATGGGGTGTTAAGGGATGGCTCAGTTCTGTCCCAGGTCAGGGTGGGGTGGCTGGCCAGCTACAGGAGTTTCTGCTCAGTCAGAGACACAGGTGGTAGACCAAAACAGTCAGTTCCTCTTCATGGTGTCCCTGATCCACCCCAAGTAGCTGCAGACTTTGGTATAAACACCAGGCTTGTTCGTAGTGTCACAGGGGACGTCACCCCAGGACACGATTCCCTGCAGGACTCCCCCACAGACCAGCCACGCTGTGTGGGGTTCCCCAGAGTCACCCTGTGTGGGGAAGAGAAAGTTTGAATGGGAAACTTCTGGATCCAGTGCGCCCATCCTTAGCCTAATCACCGGGCACGATCTCAGTCAAAACCCAATCCGACCCCACCCCATGCAATCCCTCTCCAACTCAACTCAATACAACCCAGTTTAACCCAATCTAATCCAACTCAACCGCAACCTAACACAAGTCAATACAACTCAGCCAATCCAAGTTCAATCCCCTCCATGTAGCGCCAACCCAACCCAACCCCCACGTCGTCCCCATTCAAACCCAAACCAGGCCTATCTATGTCCATCCTTACTGCCAACACAGCCAACCCCAGCTGTTACGGCTTTCACATCCCAGACAAAACTTACCCCATCCGCATTTCAACCCAACGTATTTTCCTTCTAAAAGCAAACCAAGCCCATTCCTATTCTCAAATCAAAGCCAGGCCATTCCACACCAACCACCACATCATCCGCCCCAAATACAACGCACCCCTACCCGCATCTCCAACCCCATCTCCAACTCCACCCCCGTTCTAACTGCTCTTCCTTCTCCACCCCCCCATCTATCCCTAGCATCTTCTCTGGCCCAAAGCAAGCACAACCCGACCCCATCCCAACACCCAAGCCTGTTCCCCTAAACCCATGGCTCTGACCTCACAGGAGTCCGTGCCTCCGCCTTCTACTCCTGCACACACCGTAGTGCTCATAAGGCGCCCTGGGTAGTCCTTGCTACAAGATGTGGCCGGGATAACACTGATGTTGGCACAATGCAGCGGATCTGGGAGACTCACTGGGGAGGACAGTGGGCTTGGAGTGAATCCATACTTTCAGGCCCTTGTGTCCTTCGCCCACGAACCCTGGAGAATAGGGTCCCTGGAGGCCTGACACCCAGCGCCATCCTTTCACGCACCTTGTGACCTTGCGCTCCCTTTGGTCCCAGGCTTGTCATCAGCCACCACGCCCCAGCCGGACACCACGCAGGCCTCGCCTGGTTGGGGACAACGCGTGGGCAGCGCCACGGGACGCACTTGCGGGGAGAGGCACGTGGGCCGGGTTAGACGTGGCAACATGACGTCGTGGCGATGGCTGCGCGCTTCGTGGCACGGGTGTGGGACGAGGCGAGCCACAAGTCCACAGCACTTCCGGGCCATCGCGCTTGCGCAGATTGTGCTCGCCTAGGTGCACGCTCATGAAGCTGTGCGCGTGCGCGGGTGATTATCCGCAAGGGCAGTGAGGAGCGGACAGAAAGACCAAAGAGCCGGCTAGCTGGGGTCCTTCACCACGCGGGGAATCTGGAGATGCCATTACCCTCTGTGTCCGAGGCGCTGAAGCCAATAGTTCTAGCCCCTGCCCCTCCGGGGCCACGGAGGTGCGCACACTTGGAACTCAGCCCCCAGGCTCCAGCTCTCTCCTCCTCAGAATCCAAGATTCTCAGACCCTTAGGCCCTTGGCATCCTGCCCCTCAGGACCCTGAGCCCTGCCTTCATACCCGGTGTGGCTGTGGGCAGCAGACAGCATCCGGCGTGCAGAGTGAGGGAAACACCGCAGTTAAAGCGTCCACGCTCCAAGAGGGCCGCTTGCCTCGGCTGGGAGTGGGGCTCACACGCCTCACCTTTCAGCCTCTTGGCGGAGTGGTGCTGGGCCGCTGGGAGAGGAAGCAGAGGAGGATCCCTCACAACACAGTCTTTTCCCTTGTCGCACCTTGCCTACACCCTGCCCATAGTATGTATTTTTCACCTGTGCTTTCCCCCCAATGTCTTAGGACGTCCCCGTCCTTGAATTTCAAGTACTGTCTTCTCTCAGGCTTCGACAACTGCTGCTTGTTTTCTCCAGGACTGGCCCCTTGCCCTTCGCCCTCACCCGTTTATTACAGGATTCTGGGAGAGCGGGTATGTGGGGAAGGACCAGAAGGCAAGAAGTCCTCTGAGATTAGAAGTGGAGACAGGGACACTGGATAAAGATCCAGAAAGACGGTCACTTGGGACCAGCCATTCGAGGTCGCCACGCTGCCACAGGCATCAGATGGATGGGATGTGGCCACTCAGTGTATGACACCCAGTCTTGGCTCCAGAGTCCGGACATCTCAGCCAAATGCAGATGTGGCCACACAAGGTCATGGGCAAACATACAGCTGCAGCTGCAGCTTCAAGGATCACAGCACAGAGATTCATAGGTATATATGAGTCTGGACAGTTCCAGTGTGGGTGTGCATGTGGATACACACACACACACACACACACACACACACGCACGCACATGCACAGACACTGATTTGGACATACAAGCTCACATCTAAATTTACAGTGTCCTGTGTGGGTCTGAACGTACTAGGTCACAGACTTGCACACTAGCACCCAGGGGCTGGACAACAAGGTGGGGTCCTTAATAAGGGTACATGGGGAGAAACATGGATATGCACTCGGTCCCCCAAAGACTTGTGCACAGACGTGAGTCTGAGTATAGTGGTTATATCGGAATGTTAGAGTAAAACCCCTGTGTCCTTGTTATCTGTGAGCCTTTGAGCAAATTATTTGACCTTTCTGAGCCTACATTTCCTCATCTGTAAGATGGGATTGTTGTAAGGAATGAATAAGAGACAGAGACAGAGAGAGAGGGAGAGAGAGAGAGAGATGTCTGGCTTATTATAGCTGCTTAATAAATACTACTTATTTTAAACAAAGGACACGTAGACTTATTTATGCAGATATGCATGTGGATGTTCAGGTTGTGGACAGAAATTTAGCCAAAGTAAGTCAGCCATATGACCAGGCTCAAATGAAGATAATCAAGGTCAAAACTATGATTCATCCTCAAGTCACTTTGTGGGGATTCAGAGTAATAGACACTGACCCAGAGGGCCAACACTTAGATGTGGCCCCACTAGATCACACCCCAGGGAAACAAAGGACACAGGGCTAGGCATCCAAGGTCAAAGACATAGCCAGAGACACAAGACAGGACATGTTTTCCCATCTCTAGACCTGTTGCCTGTCAGTCACTTGGTGTTCAAGGTCACTCATTGTGTTTCACATAGGGGACCTGGTTCACACATGTGGGCAGGATGTGGACACACAGGGCCTTGCAAACCCACCACACACACACGCAGGACACTGCAGCATTGTACCATGCACAAGGACATAAACAGCGATGTTTCAAAGTCACAAAACCGTGACCCGCTACTGGGCAATGGGGATATGATCCCTCAAGATCACAGCCAAACACACAGACACCCACACTGGGGCAGGAATTTGCACAGCTAGACAAAATACCCACATTCTGCCTGCCAGGGTCAAGAACTGGGCCAAGGGCCCTGGCAAGGTTGGGGGAATGCGGATGTGGTAGACAGGGGGCTTAACAAGGGAAGGGTGGGGTTGTCCTGCAAAGAAGGACAGAGGGTGCGGGCTGAACAGCTGGGCATCGAGGCTGCATCTGGCCAGTCCAAGCCGGAGGAGGGTGGAGGCCCTGGCTGGGTGCAGCGGCAGGCGAGAGGCAGGGAGGAGAGAGCACAGAGAAAGCCTGAGGGGAGGCTGGCAGCAGGGGGGAGCTTCAAGGGGCCCCCAGAGGCGAGGGTCACGTGGGGACATAATGAAAGTCCACCCTCAACTTCTCCAGGTAGAGGCGTCAGGTTACAGGTAAGTTCTCCATGGGTGGTAGCTGAACATGGTTTGGAGTTTTCCTGCTACCCAGGGTCACCTTGACATTGTGGCCACCCCTCTCCAGCCTCAGCCCTCTTCCCTGTCAAGTGAGGCCGGTAGAGCCCACCCTACAGAGATGTTTTGAGAATTAGATGAGCTGTAGCATGTACCCAGGACTCAGCAGTGCTAACAACACCCTCACGGGGTACTGCCCTGGGCTAAGTCCCTTCTCGTGCCCTACACACAGGACCACATTCAATCCTGCCCTGGGGGCATCGGTTCCTATGTCCACGGTACAGTTGGGGATCTCGAGTCGCAGAGATGTTCAGTAACTGCAAAATGGTGAGCTGGAATTCAAACCTGGAGTCTGTGCTCTTGACCTTGCTAACACTTGTTGAATGCTTATTATGAGCTTTATCTACATTGTGCTATTGAAACCTCACCGTGGTGGTCATGGGTAGGTGCTGTCTTCTAGAGAAGGCACTCTAGGTGGAGAGAGGTGAAGTCATTTCCTCAAGGTCACACAGCAAGGAAGGGGCAGCCCCAGACCTTGAACTCAGGTCTGTGTCATCCCCAGAGCTGATTTGCTGTCGGGAGCAGCGAGAGACCCAGTTGGCTTGGGGACTCCAGAGCAGCCCCAGGCTTCTGAAAGTTCTTGGGGTAGGGTGAGCACTCAGGAGCATCGGGTGGCTGGGTGGGGTGGGGTGGAGCAGGGCTGGGGGTGCTGGCAGATCGTAGGCCCTGGCTTTGCTCCTGATGGAGCGGAGAGGTACCGCACCCCCAGAGACCCAGACCTGACCTGGGCCCACCTCACCTGCAGGCGTCAGCAGGAAGGAGAAGGTGAGAAGCCACATTATGGGGAAGGGATGAGGGTTCTGCTGAAGTCTGGGGAGGGGAGAGAGTGAATGGAGTTGAGCCTGGACACTTCCGCCCTCCCCTGAATCCCTCCAGACACAAACACATCCATCCCACCTGCTGCTTGAGAAACTTCTTTCACCATCTTGGTCCCCCCTACCCCCACCCCAGACTGTTCTTCCCCCCCGCCCCGCCCGGGTTCTCCATCTCTGAGGGTTCCTGTTGTTTCTCCAGGCACCAGAACAGGCCCTCAGGTGCCCCACAGCCCGTCAGCCCCCAGCACCATCCCACTTGCCCCTGGATCTCTCTCCAACCCTGAGGCTCTGGTTCAGGATACATTCTCCCCCAGACCCTAATCCCAGCCTCCTGTCTGGCCTCCTGGGGGTGTGTCTTCCCCCCATTTGTCCCTCCAGTCAAGTTCCCACTCCCCTAGCTCGTTCCCCTACATGCCCCCTCAGGGTCTTTCCATGCCCAGAGTTGACCCTGTCCGACTCCTGCCTATAGCCCTCATAGGTTCCCCAGCGCCCTCAGGATCAAGTCCTCGCTCCCCAGCCTCACTTTTGAGGACATGGGGGTTTCTCCCTCTCCAGCCCCTCTGACCAGGTGTCTCATGACCTTGCCTTTCTCCCATTTTCCTTGCTGCGATTTCATGCCTCCCTGCCTTTGCTCAGGCTGTTCCTCCTGGCAGGTATGCCATTCCCTTCAAGGTCCACTTCCTCCCTGAGGCCTTTTCTGACCTTCTCTGGTCCATGGTGTCTACCTTACCCCCCAGACTGGGAACTTACTGAGGGCAGGCCTGGCCTGACTGGACTCTGGATCCCCAGCACTGCCCAGTGAAGGGTCTAGTCCATGGGAGGCCCCAGCAAGCTTAGGGAGTGGAGGAAAGCCTTCCTCTCATCTTCCAAATTCATATTCCGCCCCCAAGGCTCAGCCCCCACCTCTTCCGGGAGGCCCTGGGACCTAACAGGTGTCCTTTCTGGGCCGCTCAGCCCTGGTTCTGCCTCCATCACATCACAGATCCCCAGACATGCTCAGGCAAGGTCTTCTCTGTGTCCCCAGCACTGCCCAGCCTGGAGCCTGTCACACGGGACACCTTGGGGAGGTTGAGCTGAGGTGACCTGAACCCCTGATGACTCCTGACTTTGTTCTTGGCTCTGATACAAGTGTTTTGGGGGACATCCTCCTGATTCACTCCACCCCCCCCCCCCCCCCCCCCGCAGCTCCTTCTTTCATCTCCGGGACATTTTCTTGGTTCAGGTTCAACTTGGAGCCTCAGTAAAGGACACATGAAATTACACAGGTGCCCTTGAAACTCAGCTCCCTCAGGGCAGTCCATGTCTGTTCCCGGGGATAGGGCACCCAGTGTCTCTTCTAGATCAGGGCAGACCTGTGTCTCCTCTAGTGTCTCTCACCTCCCCCCAACCCTGACTTTTGTCTCAAAAGAGCTCACCCCCTCCAGATCCCCCAGCTTCATCTGGGGCAGCTTGGATGCCGGAGGAAGGGGAGCAGGCATCTGAATACTTGAATTTCTAAGTCCCCAGCCCCACCCGGGTCTAGGGGGTAGGGTGGGGTGGGAGGTGGTTGAGATTCAGGTTTACAGGCCGGGATGCCTAGGTGGCTAGTGGGGTGGGGGACAAGGCCTAATGAGCATTTATTAGATTGAAGTTTTTGTCTGAGTCTGTAAGGAAGAATTCCCTGCCAGGGACAGTTCCTCAAGGGAGAGGAAGTAGGAGGGCAAGAGCCCCAAATCAGAGATCAACACATAGGACCAGGAGTCTGCAACCTGGAATTTGGGGTCTAGAGTGTGGAAACTGGATTCTAGAGTCATGCTTCTTGTGCCTGGAGTTGGGTTCTGGATCTTGGATTCTGGATGTTGATCTGGATCCCTGGTTTTGGATTCTGAACCTGGGATCTCTGATTCTGGCCAGTGGATTCTGGATCTGGATCCCCACTTCCTGATCTTGAATTCTGGAGTCAGATCTCTGATTCTGGACCTTGGTGCCTGGGCCTCCTAACTCTGGATTCTGGATATTAGATTCTGCATCTTGGGTTTTGCAGTTTTTGCTGTGGCTCTCCAACTCTGGACTCTGAGTTTGGAGGTCTAGAGTCAGGCATTTATGACTTGAAGTATAGAGTGTGGATTTTAGAGTCTGCATTCTGGAGTTTGGGTCTGGAATCTGGATCCTAGAGTCTGGTCTTTGAGTGACAGGTCTTAGTCTTGGATCCTAGAAGCCTTTGAATCTGGAGTCCAGACTAGGAATCTGGAATTTGGTGTTTGGAATCTAAGACTTGAGGCCTTGAGCCACCTTCCTTGGTGGAACCTGAGTGGGTGGTGGCGAGGGAAAGAAGGCGAACCCCTGGGGATTTTAATCATCATGAGAACTTCCCTGGTGCCAGGCTAAGCGCTCTCCATCGTGATCGCATGTGTTCCTCCCACTAAGTCACGCAGGCGTGTGACACAGATGGGGACCCCGAGGGAACTGACACCTAGCTCAGCCCGTGCTCGCGGGCTCACTGGGAGGGCGCCTGGCTCCGCCTCCGACGCGGTGACGTCTGCGCCCCTCCTCCCGCCCACTCTGACCGCGGCAGACCTGGGCTATCGATCGTAGTCCTCCTGGGCATCTTTCCAGTTGTCCTTCACCTCCAAAGGCAGGCCGAGTCCCGCCCTCTGCCTTGCTCCTCCTCCTCCTCCTCCTGCGAACACTCCCCGGAGCCTTTCTTTCCTCGACTCCTGTGGATCAACCGCCAACCATCCAGGTCTCTTTCATCTGACCCTGAACTCCAGCCTCTGGAGGCACATGCTCCTGGGCTTCCTTCCCCCCCCC